TTCCAACCCCTAAATTCTATGATTCCCTCATTAAAAAAGAAATCTCTTCCTAGGGCATTCCCAAAATCACAAAGGAGCTGCAAATGAGCTCTAACAGATTAAGAAATGGGATGCTTGGGTTTGCCTCATGTGTTTTGAGCCTCTGGAACAGCCACACTTCCCTATGTCAGGCAACACCGACTGGCAGGGACTCGGTGCCGCTGGGATTTGTCGGGTAACAGGTTTTCACACAGCTCCTGCCTTGCAGCAGCTGAGGCTCGGCAGGAATTGCCAAGGAGCACTAAGGAGCACACCCAGCCGAGCTGGCAGCGCTGCCGGGAACACCACTGGAACCAGTCCAGGCTGAGAGCAAACCCCAGTCAGTTCTAGTGGGAAATTCAGGGGGAGAATAGACCTCATTGTCTCCGGGATTAAAAATGGACCAAACTCACAGACAACAAGCTGCAAACATCCTTTCCACCGAGGGGAGAACCAGCCCAGCCAGAGCCTCTGGGGCTGCTGCAGCCACAATGGAGCTCTGTCCGGGCTGGGAATGGGCAGGAATTGGGGCACTTGGGTGGAAGAGGTTTGGCTGACCCTGGAGAGGGTTGGAATTGTGCATTTAAGGAAGTTTGACAGTGCTGGAAGCATTTTAATTTAGGCTTGGGGTATTTCTAGCAGCTGAAACTTCTACCAGGCTCTTGAGCAAATGGAACTGCTGCTGAAATTTAGTGTTTCTTTAGGATTTCATGGTGAAAAAGACCCCTGATATAACACCTTTCAGAACAACTGAGGAACCACCTATGGAACAGGTGGAACAGGATAGGTTTATCTGTGGATAAACATAGAATTCCAGGGAATAAATGTTTGTATTCTGAAAGCAAAGAAAGCCTGAAGTGATGATTTTGGACACAGGATTGTGGATTCAAGGGGGTTTAAATTCCTCATGTACCACACACAAAGCAGCTTGTTCCTCTTTATAAACAGGACCCTTGGCTAAACCTGATATGTATTTGTGATTCCTGTTTAGGGATCAAGTTGTAATCCTGATGCTTTCTTCTCTTCCTCCACTCTCCTCTCTGTCTGTAGGGATTTGTGGGATCTTTTTAAAACCTCACCTTGGGCCTGTAGTTGTGTTATGCGGAGGAAGAAATCCTCTGCCACCAAGTTTTTGGAAAGTCTTTGTCCAATTCCAGCCTATTTCTCTTCAATCTGTTTGCAGCTGGATTGGTTAGCTCTGTTTTAATGCAGAGCAGAGCTAGACAAAATGAATGCAAATAAAAATGAGTACAGTCAGTTTTAAACCCTTTTTTTGACTGAGAGTGGATTTTATTTCTTAGGGAGCTGAGCAGAGCAAATGGGCTGTGCATCTCCATCTGCTGCTGGGACCTCAGTGTTTGGAGAACTGCTCAATCCACGCTGGAAATGGAAAGATAAACGTTAAATATTTAACAAGCTAACCCCATAATATTAGCTAAGAAGGGTCATCCTATTTGTTGCTACAAGCTAATTTGTTTACAGGGCAGAAAGCATCAACTTCCACCCTGTGTGAGCCTTAAGCAGTCGCTAAACTCCTGCTAATGGATGCACTTTAGCCCTGATATTTCTCTGTTAGCATTGGGCAAACATTGAGTGAAAAAAAAAAAGAAAAAAAACGAAAAAAAAAAAGGAGTGTTTACTTTGGAGATTGGTTTGGGATGTTTCCTTTTCCTTTCCTCAGCGCTGAGAGCATAAACACAGTCACTTTGTATATTACATGGAGGGATTTTTCTTTCCCTGCGTTTTTTTTCCTCTGTTTTTCCCTCAGCGCTGAGAGCATAAACACAGTCGCTTTGTATATTACATGGAGGGTTTTTTTCTTTCCCTGGGTTTTTTTTCCTCTGTTTTTTCCGATTTTCTCTGATTCTTCGTCCTGTAGAAAGGAAATCATGCAGATTAAAATAGAATCAAATAAAATAATGACAAAAATACACATTTAAGTAAGGGATGAGAAAACTCTGAGCACACCCAGGGAGTTCTATTAGCACAAATAATGACAAAAATACACATTTAAGTGAGGGATGAGAAAACTCTGAGCACACCCGGGGAGTTCTATTAGCACATGTTAGGCCCCTGATCTATACTGAAAACTTACAAAAATCCCATTTTTGTTTAGGATAAAGGCTCAATATGACATTGGAGGTGCAAATTCGTTCCCAAACCACCTAAATTGAGGAATAATAAGAATAAAAAGCAGAGCTGAGGGTTCCTGGCGCTGCTGCAGGTGGTGGGTGGGCTGTGATGTGAGAGGGAAAACACCCAAAATAGCTTTTATTTCCCTCATTCCAGGCTGGATTTGCTCCTCAGGCTGCACTCTGTGGTGGAACGGGTTATTTTTTGCCCGTTTAGGTGTGGGTTGGGGTCAGATTTAGGCACAAAGACTGTCCCCCCCCATGGCTCCTCTCCACACACCTCAAACCTGGAGTTGAAGGGCTGAAATTGAGGACCTGCACCCCAAAACCTTTCTGTGTTGAACAGAGAGTGTTTCGTAGTGGATGTTACTTACAGAAATCACTTTATCAGCTGTTTTTTTTCCCCTCAGGGAAACGCTGTCCCTTCAGACACCCCCTCAGGGCACCCTGAGGGGAGCAGCAGGGATGGATGGGGCTGAGCACCAAACCTGAGGGGAAAAACCCCACCATACCCGTTTTTTAAAATGATTATTCTTATTTAAAATCAACCTTTAAAGTGTTATTTCGGCGCAGGGGTTAAAAGGCTGTGAGAGAAGAAGCAGCACAGCTGTGGCTACCTCAGGCAGGAGCAGAAAACCTT